ACTACTTAAAAAATTCTTTTTAGTTTGTATTCCAAAATTAACTAATTGTAACTTTCCATTTCCTTTATATGTTGAGGACATGTTCCTCGTGCGTTAGAACTATAAAGCCCATGACAATATAGGACATGCCATATGGTACGTCTAATGATGCCCTAAGGAGTGTCCCTAAAAGTATCATTCAAGTGTCTAAAATTTAAATATATATGAAAAATAGGACATGTTGCATGGCATGTGAGGACCATGTCCTAGATTGTTCGAGCCTTGACATTCAACGCAACACGATACGTGTCGGACATGGACACACCACTGCCTTAGAGGAGTGTCTTTGCTTCATAATGCAAAAGGTCTTTTAAACAAAAAAAATAAAATAAAATAAAATAAAATAATAGTAAATTTCACCTTGACCGTTCTTAGAAGGCTGTTGTGAAAAAATTGCGGATCAGATACTTTTATAGCATTATCCTTAAATCACGTCCGTCGCGAGTTGAAAATACCACTGTCCCATTGTCACTAAGACGATGAGGTGATAAATAAAGTCAACCAGTCATATAGTGACCTATTTTAGGAGGCAAAACTCGATCATCTTATGATCTGCACTGATTTCTTTGTCTCAAGGGGAAAGGATTTCCTGTATTTATCAATGATTTCCCATGCTGGGTTTTAAAACCCTAAATTTGGACGCAAAAACCAGAAATTTTGAGGTTGCTATGAGTTTATTTGTTCATGTGCTAGCAATCAATTAATGAAGGGATTAATTAGTATGAAGATTGTCATGGATCTAATGAGATTGATTTTATTCTGGCTATATTGGAAGAGATTATATTTTATAAATAGAAGTTGTGGTAACTCTTGGTCCCACTTAGTTTGCTTTGGTTAATTTTCTACAGTTTTTAGGGATCAAAGTTGAGAAGCTGCGAAAGTACCCGCTTATTTCAAATTTCACCTGAAACAACGTGCCAAGTTAAATCTGGACATTCAAAACCAGATGGAAGGAGTACCTTCTATAGATTACCTATTGATTTTTTAGGTGTTCCAAAAGACCTATTGGGTTTCTTCTAAAGTAATCTAGAGTAGACATTGTCGAGCTTCCAAGTATTATGCTTGCTTCATTTGCTTCCTAATCATGAGATGCAAAGTAACTGCATGAAATGAACTCAAGCAGCTAGAGATTCACTTTATCGTTGCCTTTCATCTGCAGCAAAACAGGCACGACTTAAGCAGGCCAAAGAAGAGGCTGAGAAGGAGATTGCTGAATTCCGTGCTCAAATGGAAGCCGAGTTTCAGAGGAAGGTTGCAGAGGTAAAATCTTTAAGTTTAATTGAGCATGTGTGCGTGCGCCTCATTTTCCTATCCTTGCAACCTAAGAGAGAGTGAGAATTTATCTGTTTGAATTACTGTCACTTTTGAATTTCTGATATCAACTCGAATTATTTAATTAAGTGGTCAGGAATCTGAATTTTCTGCATCCTCTTTTGAGTAAATCCTGATTTTCATACTGCATTAAACAGAGCAGTGGAGACTCGGGTGCTAATGTGAAGCGCCTTGAACAAGAAACTGAAGCGAAGATTCGTCACCTAAACACCGAGGCCTCAAGAATTTCCCATGATGTCGTCCAAATGCTTCTGAGGCACGTTACCACCGTTAAAAACTAAGATCTTGGCTTGGTAAGGTGGATTGGAACAGAGTGCTCTCATTTCTTTTACTCCTTCAAGATTGTTATTTGGAAACTTTTCGTGCTTGAATAACTGTGTATTTTAGCATATTTAAGTTATATGTATTGTTGAATCTTGTCCCTTCATTTTCAATTATTCTTTTTGGCATCAAGGAGATGGGAAGGTAATTATGTATTATTATCAAACTCTTTGGGAGTAACATATACTTTCTTTATGAGATATTCAGACAGTATTTGTTTATTTATACGCCCCTGTTTGGTCCCCATTTTTTGAAATGAAAATAGTTGAAACAGTATTTTTTTTTTCGAAAAATGAGTGGTTGAAAAATGAGGAAAAATTTTCGATTTACGTGCAATATTATTTGATAGAAAATTGTGTGGTTGAAAAGAAAAAAGAAAAAAATGAAATATAATTTAATAAGGGCCAAACGGGGCTAGTGTAAAAGTTTAAGTTCTTAAGAATTCGAAATATTTATCTATATAAAAGATTTTGAGGGAGCATAGGCATTTGAGGAAGAACAAATTCAACCTTATTAATTATTAAAGAGCTTTTAAGTACTCCCAAACATGCACCAAGTCCTTCACTTTACTATAAGCAAAATTTTAGGGTAAATTACACTATTGATCCTCAAATTATTGATCCAGTACAAGTTGATCTCTCATCTTTAAATCGAGTAAATATATTCTTAACCTTTTATTATATTGTCCAATCAATCCCTAGTAACATAAATCATTCAAATACTTATTAATCATCTCATTTTCTCACTATCTAATTTTACGAATATGTGTTTTAGTCCAGACTTGTTTGATATCTGAAAATTTAAAGTAAGTGGACGATTTAATGCAAATTCGATTCATTTTTATTGCAGACTAATTGTGCAATATTTTAATAGATTAAAGAACAAATAATTATTTTCAAGGTAGGAGACTAGTTAGTGATCAGAGCAATAGGTTGGGACCAATAACGCAATATTGCCATTATTACCTTCTAAAACCCATTATTACCTTCTAAAACCATTATTACCTTCTAAAACCTTGGACATAACAGAAAACCTAAAATCCCAAACCCATTGTGATATCGACCCACGTAAGCATTTGGAAGTGGACCCCGCTTCTTCTAGACCACCCTCGGCCCACCATCACTTGTAATCTCATCACTCATCAGCTCAGAGTTTTCCTAGACCACTACATCGCCAAAATTCAACTTACAATTAGGTATGTATTTTAATCATTGTGTGTGAATATTCACTTGTATAATAAGTGAAAAATCACATTTTGTGTATTATTCTGTTGTAATTGAACTGAATTTTAATCTTTTCAAAATTAATCCCTGATAACTTTTCTAAACAATCAAGTCCATCGTGAATTAAATTACAATCCAAGACTCCATCATCGTTTTGTACAAGTAAAATTAAGATTGGACCAAGTTGTGACACAATCAAGAACTCTTTAATTATGTGGAATTGAATTATACCTATATGTGACCAAAATTTTCTAGGCTATTCGAGTCCTTCCAAGATACATATGCTAACCTTATAGGTCGTACCGAATTACAAAGGTTTTAATGATCAAAATGAAGAGTTTTGCTAATTGAAAGGTTAAGAATGAATTATGCTCAAAAAATGACTGAGCTCCATTCTTTGAAAAAAATACATTCTTAAACAATATTTTGACATCATTTCAACCACACATTCTACAATAAAATAATATTACACACAAATTCAAAACTTTTCATATTTTTTAATTACACATTTTTA